GGTCTCCTCGGCAGTGGTCGTGCGCTGCGCACTTCCGTCGTCGCCAGTCTCATTGGGAACTGACTTACGCGCAGCCGATAGCTGGCTCTCCAGCTCGACCATGCGCCTTTCCAGATGTTCCCGGCCTTTCTCCGCCTCTTCAACCTTTCTGATGAGCCGCTCCTTCTCCCGCTCACCTTCAACAATATCTGCCCTGACAGTTCGCAAGACGTCTTCCATCTCTTGACCCCGCCGCTGCCATTCGGTCTGCTCAATTTCGAGAGCCTCTTTCCGTGCAGCTTCATTACGGACTTCCTCAAGAGCTTCTCCAACCCGCCGTTCAGCATCCGCAACAGCATTCTTCAGGCTGGAGACTTCCGCCTCTTTCCCGCTCAGCGTCGCCTTGAGTGAGGATATCTCAGAGAGGAACCCGGATTTCAAAGATTCCAGCTCCCGGGGTGTGACGGTCGGTATAGACCTAGGCGTCGGAATCGCAGGAATGTCAAAGTCGAGCAGCGAGACCTTCGAAGGGGACCGGATGGATTCTCGGAGAGTCCTTAGCGGCGAACGTCGCGAGGGCGAATATCGCTCCTTCTGGATACTATAGCGTTGACGTGGAAAGAAGTTTGGCTGATCTGTCAGGTCAAGCAAGTTTGGCGTTTCGCTTGTGTTTCCCGTATCCCTGCGTTCTCGCCTCTTGGGAGTAGGAGAAGCAATGGGTGTGCCGATGTCGATGAGTGCTGATTGCCTTTGTGATCTCCTGGAAGTATCAGGAGTAGCTGGTACGGGGCTTCTGGATTGATTTTCATCCATTCTTCCCGGGCTGCTGGGTAATAGTCGAGATGCCTTGAATGGTGAGTCCCCTCGCAGTTTTGCGAACGATGTCATGTCTGCGTTAGGAACGGCGGAGAATGTACTGAAACATGTGTCATCCATGGGATCATGAGAGTCGTCATTCATAACATCGTCTGCAGCGTTCATTTCCAGGTTCGTCTTTTCGGAGAAAGAATCATCGTAGTCATTACGTTCGTCAAGGACAGTGCTCATTCCCTCATTGCGTTTTTCCTCTACCATGCTAGTGCCAATTTCGTGTCCAGTGCCTCCTGTGATCTCTCTTTCATGCATTTGGGGCTCCTCATCGGCGTAGACTTGAATGTCCGGTATGTCACGTCGGCTCATTCCCTTTTTGCTCCTATCACTTGATCTTTCCGTCGCATCCTCATCTTCTGGACAATGACTGTAGGAGCGCTTTCTGGGAGTCATGGAACACTCGCTCAGCCCACCCGAGACCTGTCGGTTACCGAGCATCCGAAAGTCGACTGTAGGGTCTCGACCATCGTACTGAAACGGCGAGCTGGGCTGTTCGTCGCCAGACCCAAGATCTCCAACATCCAGAATGGAATCCTGCGTGCGATATGTAGCTGAATAGCGCCCACTTTGGGGGTAGTTGTATCGGCACCGCCGTCAATCGTTTTCTTCGGACTCGCAAAGACATTCTCGGATCCGCTCTCATTCACCAAGGATTCATCCATCTCAACTTCCAATCCATTGAAGCCCGGCGAAAACGCTCGCGAATTCTGGCGCGAGGTCGTCAACGGAGACAGAGGTTTGGACATGACAATCGTGAATGGGTTCTTGTTAAGTGAAGGGCAACGGGATTGACATATGAATAGTATGTGTTCAGACAATGTTTGTAGGCTCTAGAAACGTCAACCCAAGGTGAGTGATGATGGTATGCACAGCAACCGATAACGTCTGACTCGAGCAGTGCAAGGACAGTTAGTGATGTGGTTTATTATTTTCGGCTCGTTGCCAGGATGATGCTGTAAACAAAGCTATTCCCGATGGGATGTAGTGTCCATAGTGGCTAAGCGGTGGAACGTGGCAATTCTGTGATCTGCTCCTACCGCCTTTTGTAGTGTAAAATTAACGGCTTCTATCGGATGGACAAGCGTGCCAACGAGTGCGAAGATAGCGAATGGGAACTGTGGTACCTCTCTAGAATGTACAACTTTTACTCTGATATTTGACGCTACCGATGAAAACTGAAATCTTAATAAAGTGATCCGTGACCACTGACGCTGTACACCAAAACGCCATTTTGTCGCTAATCATGAAAAGGCGAAAGCCCTCTAGCACTGGTATCACCCACTCATACATGGTATCTTCAATCTATGTCAAAAACGAATAACGGCGGGTTTGGGACGTACCCGCACCGTCTGCATTAGCATCGGTGTCCGTCACTATGATATGGATGGTCTCCTTTTGAGGTTGAGACTCATCTGGAACGTAATGATAATGGCAAGGCATAGCCGGCCGAATTGTAGCGGAGGTATGCTTCTTGTGCTTCATGAAACACAGCTGCACAGCACCCATGACAGCAACCAAAGAGCTTCCCCACCATGCGATAGCAGTGAAATTCATATCGGCACCGGTGCTGTACAGGAAACCAGCAATAGGAGGAGCAATAGTCCTAGCGACGGCACCGGCAGAAGCAGCTAGCCCATTGATCTTTCCCATGACCGAATCCGAAGGGCTTGCTTGCTTAATGAGAATCAGCAGCACAGGGTAATCGATTATCGAAAGTATGTTGCGGACGATAAGGCATATGTAAATGCCGAAGATGACGGAGCTTTGGGGTAGAAACATGAGGAATGGAACGATGAAGTAGGCGACAGGATGCAAGATAGTCACCACCACAAAGAGTCTCCAGACCCCCAGTAACTGAGCCAGAATAGGAAAAATGCAACTCTGAATGACGAGCGCGATGATTCCATCGGAAGACATAATCAGGCCGACTGTCCGTGTAGAAAGGCCGAGTCCGCCAGGGAAGCTAAGCGGCGCGTTACTGAGGCCCGACACATTCCTGCCATTCTTGTCCTGCAAGAAAATAGGCAAGAGATGATCGTACGTCATGGAGTGATAAGTAAAGATGGATAACGCAATGATGAGCGAGACAACTCGGTATGTGAAAACGGGTTGTTTTTGCGTCTTGAATTTTGAACCGTCGGCATTCACAAACCAATCTTCATCTGCCTGCAAGCGAACTTGGTTGAAAGTACCATATGATTCCGCGCGTAGATCTACACCTGCATTGGCTGTCGCTCCTGCGGTGGCCAGGAGAGGACTTTCGGCAGACGCATGACCGAGGTCTCCGGAAGCATTCTGATGCTGCAGACCAGGATGGGTCTCTTGCAAGAATAACCAGCTGCCAACTATGCTGAGAAGGAGTAAGAGGGAGCAGACCAGATTCGGCAACAGGTAGGGAAATTTGCCGAAAAGACCGTTGGCGGAGAACAGAGATGGATAGCTTTCAGCAGGCTTCGCAAGCAAACCTCCAATCGCGGGACCGATAATAGTTCCTATTGACCAGACAAACGGCATCACGGCGTAGGCTCGAGCTATAACAGTCACGATGAGCTAATGCTTCAGGTCCAACTGTAGGGCATCTTCAAACATTTCACTTACGTTCATGTTCTGGTCGCTTGACTAGCTCCCCAACCATTGTCTGAATGACTCCGATATTCCCGTTCAGTAGACCACCAAGAGCGCGACCTAAGAGCGCTACCCAGAAATTTGGCGCGAATCCCACAAGGAGAAGGGATAGGACGGTACCGAAGCAACCGGACAGAAGGACCGGCTTACGACCGATACGGTCCGAAAGGCCTCCCCAGAACATACCGGTGAGAGCTTCGGCAAGAGAAAAGGCGGACACGAGGATCCCGGCATAGAAGGAAGCATCTGTGCGATCTGCTACTCGAAAATCCTTGACCATAACCCATGAGTATGGGAATATGGAGGTCAGAGCGATGGGCTCTGCGACACGGCATATTGCTGTTGCCCCAAGGACGTTAGTATGTAGTGCGATAGATGACAGGTGAATCACATACCGAGCAGGAATAGCTGGGTAGTAGGAAATGCATCGTCGGAGGTGGTTTGTCTTGTCTGGCGTGTTAATACCATATCTCCAGAAAATTCTTAAATTCTTACGGCAAGCCCCCAACACTATGGCGAGTCTCCCAGGTGATCTTGCTCTTTTTTAAGTTCGAAATCCACAGATCCCAGCCGCAGGAATTATGGTATGCCCTACGGCTTTGCAGTTGTTATCAGGTTAATTCCCCTCGTTGTCGCTTTCTATTCTTTTTCTTGTAAAGCCGGATCTAGTAAGGCGCCAAGGTTGTGAGATGAATGAAGTATGCGAAATGATAATCCTTAATTGAACTTGGGTTTAGGAGGATGGTCGAGAGAGGAAGAGGAAGAGAAAAAGTTGAAAGCGGGGAATGACAGCCACCTACTGATATGAAGGGGGAAAAACCCCCCGGTCGGAGGAAAATACTGGAACCACAATCAGGTTTCTTGCCCTGGGTGCGTGGATTTTATTCCTGCTTCCAGGCATTTATTCCATAACAGATAAAAAGGCTCTTTCAACCAATAATACAGCCTAACAATGACAAGGATAGGGCTCTATTTCACCATGGGCTATCTAGAACATGTGCACAGGCTTGTAGGACATCTACATCACATCACCCCTTGATAGAAATATGATGGTGGAAAACGGATTCGCCATCCTTCTTGTTCATTATACTAGCCAGTCAAGAACATCTGCCTCCTAAATTCAGCCTGACCTGGCACAAAATGACGACTGCTTAACTGTCTTCTGACGTATAAAGTATACCATGGTATGGAGGTGGCAATCCGCAGTCCGCAGATTTTTAACCCATGATACGTGGAGGTCGGCATATATAGTGGCAAAGATTGAAGATCATGGTCCAATCTGACAGTTAAGGACTTGACTCTATAGAAGTCCACCTTCTCGGATGAAAATCTTATGCAACTCTACCTCCCTAGCTCGTCGGTGCAAATGTCAATTGCCAGCACTAATGTTACACTATTACCATTGTGCATTAGTGTACGGCTTGCAACAGACCGGCATTTTGTTAGCCGCTGCTTTTCTAGAGGTTTCTCCTTCAGTAGCCAATCAGGCTGAACTTTCAGAATGCTCACTCCATGGTACCTTGGGCACTCTATTGTAACCACCTACCTATATGTATAGTACTTCACGTACCACCTTCGTCGAAAGTAAGCAGAGATGGAAGATCACTAAGGCGCTAGGGATTTTTATGTGAACAATCAAACATGACTCTATGGCCCAACCGTTACATGACCAGTCTTTGAGAAAATAAGCGAAAGACCGGTGTGCCACAATGGTCAAGTTCTGGGCATCTTATAATAGACGTATATCATCAAAACAGCCCCGCCAAACATGCAACAACCATTCAAACACTGGCTCTTCCAGAACACCTCTGTCTCAATGTCATTCAAGGCAGATGTAACTGGAAAGCCGACTAAAGTCCCCAGCGCCGCCGCAGCCGATGATATACCAATCCTTGTGCCAACGAGGTCTTTTTCTGGCGAAAGATGAGGCACAATAATTGGATATAAAACTGCTAGTGGCCCCATGAACAAAGCAATGAGCACCGCCCAGACGACGGTGGAGCCCACTGATTTAACACCAATCCAGCCGAAGAGGAGGACACTGGATGCCAGCGCGAAGCCGCCCATGGTGAGCGCGGGCCCAAATCGGTTTGAAAGTGGCACTGCCAGGTACCGACCAGGAATGGTTGATGCATTACAGATGACTAGGACATAGAAGGCTAGATTTGAGCTTGCGCCGACTTTGAACTGGGCAAAAGTGGGGAGTAGAAAGAAGGGGACCCAGTAGGCGATCCACATGAGGAATAGAGCTATGCAGAAGGCCATAAACGCTGGGTCGCGGAATGCGGTGGGATCCAGAAGGGAGCGGACATTATGGGGAGCCTTGCTCTTGGTGTTGGGTAACATGATTGCCATCGCTATAATTAATTCACCCAGCGTCACGAAGCCGAGAACTCGAGTTGCCCAAGGGAAGCCGAGCTTGGGCTGGAGTCTCGAGAATATGATGGGGTAGATTATCCCACCTGCATGTGTGCCTAGTCAGTGAGGATATCGGCGGGAAGGAGGGAAAGGCATGGAGGACAAACCAAATGCGGTTCCGGTGGTGGCTATGAACATGGCCAATGGCCGACGTTGTTGAAACCTCGATGCAACGAGACTGATGCTGGGCACATATAGGATTGCACTTCCGATACCGACACAAACACCCTGTGCCAGAAGAATCTGGTAGTACTCGCGGGCTAAGCTCAACATCATGACACCCAATACTGTGGTTATTGTGCCTATAACTAAGAGCTCCCTGATATATCCACGATCGAAAATCGGCCCCGTTATGACGCCCCCCACTGTAAATCAGGGTCCCCGGTTAATCGCGCGAATCTTCTTCGCTTCGACCTGGGAGGGTCTTTTGCTTCTTAGAAGTGTGGTGACTTACAGATGAGAATGACACCCTGTAGCGTGCCAACCCAAGAAATTGTGGCCGAGGGCGTGGAAGACAACAGGGTTGTTTCATAGAAGCTTTCGTACGAGCCATAGGCACTTAACAGACCCCTATAATAAAGAAACGATGAGCACTACAGGTTGAACACGATAGGAGACTTACGCACCGACTCACCATGTTGCTGTGTAGATGAGAAAGGCACCTAACGCCTGCAGCCAGGCGTCCACGCCCTCGTGTCCTTCCTTGGCCACATTTGGGTGTCTCTGTTGGGAAACTGTAACTGTAGTTGGGATGGCTTGGAGACTTTCAGGTGGAGTTTTTGCAGAAGCCATGCACGGTTTTCGGTGGCAGTGAGTCTCTACCTACAGAGAGAAGGATGTGAGAGAGTTGAAGCTAAGTGTGTACCAGTGAGGGGCCGAGGATGGGAAAGCTTATAAAGCTAACAAGTTGTACTTTGTGAGCTCTATCGGGCCTGCCCCAGACAAACATGCTGTCAAATGCATTCAGAAATGATAAGCAGTCTACAGAGAAGGGTTGCCAATTATCTAACCCATCTAGTTCCAAAGACGTCCATAGTCCTGTCATAGCATAGTCATTCTAGCGCATCTCCCTTGTACCATTTGCGGCGTTTTACATTAGAATCATAAGATAATTGGATGCCAGAGATCGAGATTTTCGCATTGACACATAATGATCGGACATATTTAGCCGTTTGATGGATTTGGCGGCTCCTCGGGGGATTGTATTGGCGGTATGCGGTGACTTGCATTCACTAAGTAATCATCCCACTACGCTTGACTTTTAAACTGCCGGGCCCAGCCAGCACAATGAAGACCAGATCCAGCCACAGCAGACGCGCATTTGCAATATGTGATCTTGGTAGGTTCCTGCATTATGGTATATATATACTCTTGCTAATTTAGCGCAGGAGGGATGGGGAAAACACAGACAGCCTTACACTATGCCGTCCAAAATTTATCAAAGCACAACTTAGGGATTGCCTGAGCAAAAGTAACATCATTGGCCTTGCTCTCGGCAGACTTTGACCATTTACATGACCTTCTTTGGCTGGAGACTCTAAGAACAAGACTGGAGCTGTTAGATTTGCTTGGCTTTGCTTCGCATCTGAGAGACTCTGAGAATAGAGTAGGAGTCCTTAGAAGCTGCCTCTTTGCTTCTCCTGTTCTCTTTTCTAGAACGGTCTTTAGTTCTGGAAATGCTTTTATATCAAGGTCCCACTCCCCAAAGAAGATGGAGCGAGGATGCTCAAATGATCGACGCTCCAAATAAAAGGGGTGGAGAAACACTTGGTCTAGGTCATCTAGGGAGATCTTGAGTTGACATGGCCGTGGAGAAGCTACTTTCTTTGTCAACAATTTCCTGCAACAAAGAGTCCGAAAGGCTCAGGTCGGTTGCGTCTCGTACTGGGTAGCTCTTGCGGGTCAGACTTACTGTAGTGCCATATTCCAGCCATCATTACTTGACAGACAAAGAAAGAAAATCGGAGAGCATTAAATTTTAGTAAATATAAATTTGGGCAACCTCAAAAGTAGTGGTGGGATTGTCACATCCGAATCAAACCATCACAGAAGGCATAATGAAGCGCACTTACGAGGTATTTCCTTCTACAGAGCTGTGATACCAGGACTAACAATGTGAAGAATGCGCTCAAACTCCTCAAAACTAGAAGGCGTAAAGCCCGACCAACAAGTCTGATAACTTCCGTTTCCGCAGTCCAAGGTACAACGACAATGAAAGGGAATTCTCTCAGAGGCCTACCCAGCTTGGTTGGGATGAAGGAATGGCTGCAGCTCTTAGGACACTCGGTACGAGTGATTTATGAGCTGCGATACACCAGCGACCTGACATGTTCTAGGATAATGCGGTCAACAGCTTGAATGTAATTCATGTCAGCGGCACGAAGGGCAAAGGTAGCACCTGCGCTTTTACAAGCGCCATCCTTCGTGCACATGGTATGAGGACAGGATTTCCCAAGCGCATAGGGCTCTATACCAGTCCACATCTGCAATGCATTCGTGAAAGAATACAACTCGACGACCGTCCAGTCCCGGAAGACTTGTTTACCCAATACTTCTTCGAAGTGTGGGATTGCATTATGACTGAGGACATAGAGCAGTTCTCAGGAGTTGCTATGCAGCCTCGATACCTCCAGTTTCTGGCCCTGTTGGCTTTCCACACTTTCATCAGAGAAGGAGTAGAGGCAGCAATTTTCGAGGTCCACCATGGCGGAGAGTACGATGCTACAAATGTGATCCAGAGTCCCATCACGAGTGGAATCACATTCCTTGGAATGGATCATGTTGCACAGCTTGGACCTACTATCGAGACAATCGCCTGGCATAAAGCGGGAATATTTAAACCTGGTGCACCTGCTTTCTCTGTCAACCAGAAACCCGGCCCCGCGGAGGTTATGCGAAAGCGTGCTCTTGATAAAGGCACGACTTTGATGTTCATTTCAGCTAATGAGTGCCTTCCCACTAATGGTAGAGTACTCAGCGTCCCAGTGCAACGATTGAACTGTTCCTTGGCACTTGAGCTCAGTAGAGCATTTGTTCATGCTAAGGCGCCTGGCCATACAATTAGTGACGAAGACATCTGTCATGGTGTTGAAAGTTTCTCGTTGACTGGGAGATTCGAAATTATAGATGAAGGGCAGGTACAATGGTTCCTGGATGGGGCGCACAACGTTCTGAGTTTAGAAAAAGCTGCAGAATGGTTGGCTAGGAACGCCAGTAACGACCGAAAGTAAGTCGACTAATTCAGTTTCAAATGGCTGCCAGCTAAAATACAAAGGTGCCGCTTCCTTATTTTCAGTCATTTATCAGAAGCGAGAGACGGGGTGACGCTCGTACGATCTCTCGCGCATGCACTCTTCAAAAACAAAGTGAAACCTGACGGTGTCATTTTCACTACCTATCAAGAGAAAGAGGATGACTCTATCGGTAAGTAGAACAGTCGAAGCTTTTGCAGATCATGACTGATGAGCTAACATTGTGTGATCAGACCGAGTCACGGAAGCCTCTGAGGCTCGAATCCATGATTTATGCGCGTTGTACTCCTCGGTGTGGATGGGACTTGATCCCCAGGCTACGGTTACAAGTGCACCAACCATCGAGAGAGCAGTGACGCTTGCCAGAACAATGGGAGGCCGTGAAGATGGAATGCAAGTGCTTGTAACGGGGAGCTTGCACATGGTCGGCGGAGCACTCAGATTCCTGAGGCCATCGTCACATTAAGGTAGGCGTTAACGTACTAGGGTTTTCTCGATAAGTCGATTTGGCCTCCACTGTGAGCTTTTAAGCCAATCAACCTGCTGCGAGCGGAAACACTTTGGTCTGTGTCTGGAGGTTAATGCCTAGTGATCCTCAACCTATACAACTAATGGATTGTTCTTTATTTGTCAGCGGATCCAAATCAACACTAGGTCTTGTAGGTCTTATATTCCGTCAGTGAGCCGATAGTGTTCACTCTGAGGCCCTGTGATTGAAGCGCTATGCGCAAGTTGCGTGAGAGGATGCCGGAAACAGCGTAGCAGAATGAAGTTTTCATAGAGGGTATCGCGAAACCAAGCCAAGTGATAGAGAGGTAGAACTGATGTATCGATCAACCGACAATCATCCTGGTATTGATTGCTAACGTTCAGCGTTCTCAGAAACTGGAATATACGATCGTCTTTCTCGTGCTGCCTGAACACATCAAGTTAGTCCGCTGTTCTGAAGACGCTCGTCCCCGACCAGCCCATACCTCGAGCCACTTGTCTACCCATGGCTTGCAAGCTGCCCAGGTCAGGAGACCGCTGGTGGCGATGATGAAGATGAAGACTATAGCCTCGTCCTTCCTGGAATCTCGCTCTGATTGCCACAAGGTCAGCCGATATAGCTCCAGAGAATATGGGATAGCCCGAGTCAAAATTACTTCGACCAGGCAGTGGAGGCTATGCCATACGGAAACAGGTTGTGAAGACATCATCTTCCTTCGCGCCTTTACACATCGGTAGATTATAATCCAGGCAGAACTTGCGATTGCAATCATTGCAGCTCAGAGCTCGATATTTGTTAACTCTTTTCTCGTGAGACGTAGCATTGTCATCGCGAAGGTCAAAGGAATTAAGAGGCGGTGTCGATTCGGGATTCGGAGAGTCCAAGGGTATAATCGTGCTATTTGTGAAGCAGGTACATTTGCAGAATGATGCTGGTGCTAGTCATCAAATAGGGATTGTCAGTCGACAGCCACGAGGGTCAGATAGCGATGGGAAGGTCAAACTCACTGGAAGCTAATGTAAAGGATGTACAGGACAGAAGCACTAGAACCATGAAAAGAAGACAGAGACTGCTACTCCGGAGTGACATGACGCAGATAAAACCTTTAGGAAGGAAGATGAATGTAATATTGAATTCAGCAGCGGTATTTCTGTGCAGTACCCATTTTAGATGTACCATTTATAGTACACAATACGATGTACACAGCACAACAGCGATGATTTAAGGTAGCTTTCCTCGGAGTCTTGAAGTCATGTGACTTGCCGTACTTGTTGCAAGCTACATTATTTGTTTGGAGGTCTCTCAGAAGGGGTAGAGGTCTCTATTATTCTGTACGCAACAATATATGATCTGACATCGACAGAACCTTGAACCATCTGATCAGGATTTCCCCTTCATTCCCTTTCTGCGGTTCTCCCGTTGTCTTTGTTCCTTGGCAGCATCGCGCCGGCGCTTCTTCCAGGCACGGTTATTATCTCCACGATTCTCCCAAAACCATTTGGTAAATTCGGAATCCTCCTTCAACCCTGCCTTAGTTTCAGATCTAGCAATAGGAGTGTCTGTGTATTCCTCAGTCACTTCCATGACATTAGAATCATCGTTGTTCCAATCGAATTTTCGGTTGATCAAGGCTGTGTCTGGTGTTGGAGCAGCACTTCGTAATTCCCGACTTAGTAGATCCTTTTTTGTGAAGGGTGTCTGCGGCTCCTTATTCTGCTCTTCCTCTTCTTCAGATTCGACGTCATCCTGTCCGAAGAAGCTGAATTGGGTGTTTGTTTCTGGCGCGGGTTTGCTATCTGAAGATTCGACAGCAGGCCGCTTGAAAAGGGCTTCTAAGGGATGCACATCCTTGGAGTCTGTTCCATGAGTCGTTTGCGCAGAGGGCGTAGCACTACCAGGTACTAGCTCAGGCTCGTCAGTCTTCCGAGGCGACGACACCATTTCCTTCACCGGCAATGTATGTGATTGATGCTGTTCGTCTTGATTGAGAGACGCGCTTGATTCAGAAGATGCAGACGACATGCTGTCTTCGCTTTCTGAGTCTGTGCTGCTGTCATCAGATGACGTCGTCCCACTAGAAGATGTCCAATCCTCTGACTCATCTGCCGAGTCAACTCCGTCATCCTTTGTTTTCTCAAGATGCGTTTCCTGCGCCGTCGGATGGGCTTTCGCCGACTTGCGCTTCTCCTTAGCCCCGGCGACTTGCCCGGGCGATATTGGTCTTTTCTCAATCGGTCACTAACCGTCTCTTTGAGGTTCCCTGCATAATCTATCCAACCTTTGCCTTCCTCGAACGCAGATGTAGGCGCTGCTCCATCTCCTTCCGACCGTAAGAAGCTCGGATGGGTGATGGTTGTGGCGAACTCA